TGAAAAATTCAGACGCTTGGCAACTGACTCATTTTATGACGGTTGCAGTGTCCTAGGATCATGGGATCCCCTTTTGCGACCTTCAGTGGGGAAACCAGATTCACTTAACGACCTTTACATTGCAAACTGTCATAAATGTGAGTCAGTTGCCAAGCGTCTGGATTTTGATCACGTGACCACAGAGAGATGCTTCAATGGTCGTTAACTGTGAAAAACGGTCATAAGTCACTTTTTAAAAAATGCGGTTGCAACTTTGAACGGTCACTAAATGTCGGGTGTCGAGGACTGCCTGAATTACTGTTGTTATTAGATTTTGCCAAAGTTATTGGCCGATAACTTTTAAAAAAAACATCCAGTGTTCTTATTGCTGGAGCATAAAGTCACGTATGCTGAATGGCGAGATAATTTTCAACAACAACAACAACAACAACAACAACAACAACAATAATAATAATAATAATAATAATAATAATAATAATAATAATAATAAAGAAGTTGGGAGGGATCTTGGAGGTCATCTAGTCCAACCCCCTGCTCAGGCAGGAAACCCTATACCATTTCGGATAAATGGCTGTCCAGTCTCTTCTTAAAAACTTCCAGTGTTGGAGCATTCACCGCTTCTGGAGGCAGGTAGTTCCACTGGTTAATTGTTCTAACTGTCAAGAAGTTTCTCCTTAGTTCTAGGTTGCTTCTCTCCTTGGATTAGTTTCCATCCGTTGCTTCTCATCCTGCCTTCAGGTGCTTTGGAGAACAGCTTGACTCCCTCTTCTTTGGGGCAGCCCCTGAGATACTGGAAGACTACTATCCTGTCACTTCTCGTCCTTCTCTTCGTTAAACTGGACATCCCCAATTCCAGTAACCGTTCCTTAATCATCTTTGTTGCTCTTCTCTGTACTTTTTCCTGAGATGAAACAAACGTCTTTGGTCAAAATCTGGTTTTACTTTCAGGCCGTTTGTACATCAAAAGAGGCTGATTGCCCGTTGGTGGGCATCAACATCGCCAATTCAGCTGGGTCTCCCTCGAAGGGCGGACATGCGGCTCATTAAATTAAATTAAATGACTTCGTTGCTAGATTGAGCCCTGCCTTGAAATGGCCCCCATTAATTTAGCATTGCTCCCTCTGACAAAGTTGATAGAGGCGTGGACTTCAACTCCCAGAATTCCCCAGCCAGCTTTCCTTCTGTGTTTCTTGGTGTTAGGGCTGTTCTAGCTCAGCTCTCATTGGCCTCAAATCTGGAAATCGATATAACTCATATAACATATAACCTCTGTTTGCAGAAACTTAAAAGTGGAAATTGGGGAAGTTGCATTGCCATGGGGGGGGGGGGAAGAGGAGGAGAAGGAGAAGAGGAGGAGGAGAAAGAGAAGGAGGAGGAGAAGAGGGGGAGGAGATGAGAAAGGAGAAAAAAGGAGGGGAGGGAGGGGGAGGAGAAGGAGAAGAAGGGGAGAAAGAATAGAAGGAGGAGGAGAGGAGTTGGAGATGAGGAAGAGGAGTAGCACTAGAAGGAGGAGAGCAGGTGAAGGAGGAGAAGGAGAAGAGGAGAGAAGTTGGAGATGAAGAAGAGTAGCATTAGGAGGAGGAGGAGGAGGAGGAGGGGAGGAGAAGGAGAAGAGAGGGAGGAGGAGNGTTCTAAGCTTTGTGCAACCTGGACCCCTCTTTATGTGTCGTGCTTCTAGGTCTGATCGTTGTTCTGCAACCCCAGGGTTCCGGAGCGACTTTTGTGGTTTGTGCTGAAGCAACATAGTTGGCTGAACAAGCCATCATGGGCCGCTTGGCACATTGCGTGAGGCTGCTGTGCCAAATTTGTGCTTTGAAGCCTCATTCCAGAGCAGGGCAGAGCTGGGACCTGCTTCAAGAGCTTCCAGAATATTAATGGGATGGTATAAGCATCAAAAAGATGTAAAGTAGTCTTTCTTAACCCTGGCAGCGTTAGGAGGCGTGGACTTCAACTCCCAGAATTCCCCAGCCGGCAAGGTTCATTAAAGGATGTCTTATTGCGAATATAAGAGCTGTGGTGACGCAGTGGCTAGAATGCAGTACTGCAGGCTACCTCTGCTGACTGCCGACTGCCAGCATTTCGGCAGTTCGATGCTCACCGGCTGAAGGTTGATTCAGCCTTCCATCCTTCCGTGGTCAGTAAAATGAGGACCCAGATTGTTGGGGGGGGGAGGAAGAGGCTGACCCTGTAAACAGCTAGAGAGGGCTATAAAGCACTATGAAGCGGTATATAAGTCTAAGTGCTATTGATAAGTCGGAAGGAAGGAAGGAAGGAAAGGAAGGAAGGAAGGAAGGAAGGAAGGAAAAGGGAGGGAGGGAGGAAGAAAGGAAGGAAGGAAGGAAGGAAGAAAGGAAGGAAGGAAGGAAAAGGGAGGGAGGGAGGAAGGAAGGAAGGAAGGAAGGAAGGAAGTAAAAGAGGGAGGGAGGAAGGAAGAAAGGAAGGAAGGAAAAGGGAGGGAGGAAGGAAGGAAGGAAAAGGGAGGGAGGGAGGAAGGAAGGAAGGAAGGAAGGGCCCTGGTGGTGCAGTGGTTAGAATGCAGTATTGCAGGCAAACTCTGCCCACAGCCTGGAGTTCAATCCTGACCGGCTCACGGTTGACTCGGCCTTCCATCCTTCCGAGGTCGGTAAAATGAGGACCCAGATTGTTGGGGGGGGGGGCCAGAGGCTGACCCTGTAAACAGCTAGAGAGGGCTATAAAGCACTGTGAAGCGGTATATACGTCTAAGCGCTATTGATATTGCCATTCATTCATTCAATCCATCAATAGATATCGAACTGGGATGGCCCAGTGGTTAGAATGTAGTATTGCAGGCTGACTCTGCCCACTACCGGGAGTTCGATCCTGACCGGTTCAAGGTTGACTCAGCCTTCCATCCTTCTGAAGCTGCTTAGAATCGTCTCGGCAAGCCAGGCAGGGAAGCCAGACAGATGGAGAGATAGACAGACAGACAGGAGACAGAGAGCGACAGAGAGAAGAGACCTAGATTCAAAGAAAGAGTAGAGCCAGCAACATTCAGGATACCTTAGAACAGGGATGGCCAACGCTGGCAACTTCAAGACTTACGGACTTCAGTTCCCAGAATTCCCCCTGCTGGTTATTGAAGTCTGGGCGTTGAAGTCCACCTCTCTTAAAATAGCCAACTTTGAAAAAACCTTGATCCAGATTATGGAAAGATGTTCACTGTTTCACCTCTAGAAGTGCATTCTGCTGTTTCTACCTCACAGGGGTGTCGTTTGGTTCCCTGCCTGCAAAGGACAGCTAGTCCTTGACTTATGTCCATAATTGGAGCCAGAGTTTGCATTGCTAAGGAAGGCGGTTGTTAAGCGAATTATGCCCCATTAGGACCTTTTTGGCCATGTTCGTTAAGCGAATCTGCAGTGGTTCAGGGAATGCACGTGGTCATTAAGCGAATCCGATTGCCTAATCAGAAGGCAGTTCAAAAATGATGGTGTAGAGGAGAGAGTACATCTAGAAGAAGTTTTCCATGGTACGATAACCCTATTTTGAGTATAAATTGGTTGTATAAATTGTCCTAGGAACCAATAAAAGAAAAAGAAGCCTGAAGTCTGCAGATACCAGGACGCTGGATGCAGAGTAACAGGAGTTGGAAGGGACCTTGGAGGTCATCTAGTCCAACCCCCTGCTCTGGCAGAAAACCCTATACCATTTCAGACAGTCTCTTCTTAAAAACTTCCAGTGTTGGAGCATTCACCGCTTCTGGAGGCAGGTTGTTCCACTGGTTAATTGTTCTAACTGTCAGGAAGTTTCTCCTGAGTTCCAGATTGCTTCTCTCCTTGATTTGTTTCCATCCGTTGCTTCTTGTCCTGTCTTCAGGCGCTTTGGAGGATAGAACAGAACAGTTGGGAGGGACCTTGGAGGTCTTCTAGAATCTAGATCAATTCCCCCCCACACACACTCAAGCAGGAGACCTTATACCATTTCAGACAAATGGCTGTCCAGTCTCTTCTTGAAAGCCTCCAGTGTTGGAGCACCCACAACACCTGGAGGCGAGCTGTTCCACTGGTTAATTGTTCTCACTGTCAGGAAATTTCTCCTTAGCTCTAGGTGGCTTCTCACCTTGATTAGTTTCCATCCGTTGCTTCTTGTAGGCATCTCACATTGATTAGAATAGAATAGAATAGAATAGAATAGAATAGAATAGAATAGAATAGAGTAGAATAGAATAGAATAGAATAGATTGTAGAATAGGATAGATTGTAGAATAGGATAGATTGTAGAATAGAATCGAATAGAATAAAATATAGAATAGATTGTAGAAAGAATAGATTGTACAATAGATTGTAGAATAGAATAGATTATAGAATAGAATAGAATAGAATAGAATGTAGAATAGAATAGATTGTAGAATAGAATAGAATAGATTGTAGAATAGAGTAGAATAGAATAGAATAAAATAGAATAGAATAGAATAGAATAGAAATAGAGCTGGAAGGGACCTCAGAGGTCTTCTAGTCCAGCCCCCTGCTCAAGCAGGAGAACCTATACCATCTCAGACAGGTGAATGTCCAGTCTCTTCTCAGTTTCCATCCGTTGCTTCTTGTAGGCATCATCCATACAGGTTCTCAGTGACTGCTTGCCTAGACTTGTGAGAAG